TACCTAAAAGTAGAGAAATATTCATGGATATTATTCAGAATTTAACACGTTGATGGATAGAACGTCTATAGACGTCTCATTCATATTGATGTAATGTGACTCAAAGGCTATAGACGTCATTTTAAAAATAACGATGACAAAAAATTAGTAAATTTTTTGTCAGATTACATTTACTGTACACATATGAAATGTGACACGACATCCATGGTTGTCATCAACATGTTTACAAAAAATGGTAAAAAAACTCATTGTTTCCATAAACTGTAAGCGCTAAAAGAAATTCAGCAATTTTCCTATTCTACTTTGCTACACTCTTATATTGTAACAACACTTGCTTATACATTTGATGCACTGTCCGTCAACGTGTTAATTCGTGTATTTATCAGCCTGGTAAGCAAAAACAAGAGTAATGTTAACGAAGCGCAGCGTAGTGTATTTTTATAATATTATAAAAAAGATTCTTAAGTCATTTCAAGTTGTACTCGACTATAGTAGTTTTCAAAACGGTAGCTCAAGATATTAGAACAAAGGAGTAATAGTGATACTGAAAAGAACACGGCGCTAAGTATGACTAAGTTTTGTAATACAGCAAGTTGGGTAGTGCCTAGAAAATTTGACAAAGAAATTGGGAAGGTGCAGTCATTAGTGGATTCGTTAGTTGGCCCCTAGGCTTAAGATAATATTGTACAAAGATGGTTGTACATTGGTTGAAAGGTTGGTATCAGAAAAGGCACAAATATACTTACAAAAAACTCTTTAAAGACTTGTTATTAACTCAGGAAACCGACTTTAAAAATTTTGTACGACCGGTACAGTTTCAAGAGATACTACAGTAGGCTAAGCCAAAGAAAGTGGTGAGTTTTATTGGTATCCATTGGCACCCAATGGGTACCATTTTTTTTTATGGGTCGTTCGAAGGTTATATTACCGGAAATCGAACTTGAGTCTCCTGGGTAAACGTCTGGTATCCTAGCTACAAGGACATATCGTTAATTGTAAGGCATCATCTAACTCCGTCTCTACGGTGTGAGAACATCTTATTTTAAGTAAATATCAAAAAGTAAATCTAAAAAATGAGCTTTATGAAGCCTATTACCAAAGAAAAGTATGAGTTTTATTGTTAAACTTTCGCTCCCACTTTTCAGAGGCAGTTATATTGTTACCCATTGACACCCACCGTTTGTAATGGGTAGTTTGTAGGTTAAACATTGGCGCCAAACTTGTGCGTCTAAACTAGAAATTTATGGCTCCTTCATTTTTTGGCATTGTAAGTTTTGCCAAAACGTGGCTCCTATCATCAAGTATTTTGATTTAATATTTGGGCCTCTGTAACTTCTGACGTACACTAGGTTTGTGCCTTTTGTCAATTATAACATGGTCTATAAATATTTCGACATATTTTTGATAGAATATTACGATATTTTGATGTTAAAAAATAAAATGTTTTGTGCTTTTTATGAAATCCTTTTTACGAGTGTATAATATGCCAAATATTTATGCACAATATGCCAAATATTGATTCTGTCTATTTGTTTAAGTATAGTTAGAAGTACTTCTTACAGCATAAAAAAGTTTTGCACTTCAAATTTTACATTACATTGTTAACTTTCTCGAACTCTTAGGTGCATCAATAAAGTTGATTGAAATATTTTGTTTTATATTTACTTACATATTTACCTATTGATTATTCTGTAAAATGTGTATAATGCTGAGTATTTATTGTTAAATACACATGGTTGAGGGGCCATAAATTCTTCGTTTTTTATTTTTTTGTTAGACTATAGAGGTAATTTTATACCTTTTTAATTTAAATTAAAAAAACATTTTTAAATTTTAAAAAGATATATATTTTTAATAATAATACAAAAAACTAAAGAAATAAATCAGTATACTTAAGACATACTTATATTTATAATAATTCTAAATAATTTTTATATTAATAAATTGTAAAGCTTCTGTTAATCCCATCTAATTGTAAAATATATCTTCGAGTGCCTGATTTATATTATACATAAGTTTTCCTGTAACAAAAATATATAATAATATATGAAAAACACATTAATAATATTTTTATTTTGAAACATTTAAACAGTGAGTAGAACTATAATATAATTCTCTTTTAAATGAATAAAAGTAAAAAGAAATATTTTCTTTATTTATGATAGCTAATACATTCTTAAAATTCAAGTCATAGTTGCATATACTTCATCTGATTTACATACCGATGCGCGTCATTACCTACGTCAGAGATCGAAGTTCACATAGTTGCCAAAGTATAAAAAAATCCTAACTCCATTTTAAATCAAATAGATCACATAATTATTGCAAAAGTATTACCATCTCTTTACAACGACTATTTAAATTCTTACGTGACATTTTTGAAATAAAACATACTAATTTTCTTCTAAAATTTACAGATTTTATTAAATAGGTAAAAATATAAAACAAGAGGTATTCACTTTAAAATTCAAAATAATAAAGTACAAAAAGTGTCAACACCGCAACTGTCATATTAGTGTGATCAATTTATGCCAAAATTTCACCTTCGTTCGATTACAGTTACAGTGTGTTCCGAACAAATGTTCTTCATAAAAACGCTTTATATTGCATTTATACAAATTAAAGGAAACATATTATTGTGTATTTCTTTAAGTTAACATTAATAGAAATTTATAAATATTATTTCTACTCGTATATAATAAAATACGTCTAGTGGCTGTAATAACAATGTTCTCGGCAAAGTGATTCTAAAAAAGAACACACCTACCACCTAAATATTTCGTGTTGGTATCATGTGACGTCACGGGCTATGACGCCAATGACGTGCATCGGTATGTAAATTAGATGAAGTGTATAGTTCACAGAAATATGTGTACTACAACGCATCGATATTTTCTTTCTGATTGATGTACTACTGCATATAACAAAAGCTATGTAGAAAAAAGTTATAGAACAATGTAAAAGAAGAAAATCACAGTAGTTGGCTATATCATAGCTTAGAAAAAACTTACAAAGAAGTAAAAACTTCTAATGTATAATTATGTAATATTTTATTAAAAGTAATTAAAATTTATCCAAAAGGACCACAGCTATTCCAAAACGTTTTCGGTCCCGTCAGACCATTATCAATGATGTCAAGGCTTCAAACATTTTTTGTTGATTTATGCTGTCAAAGGCCTTTTTGTAACTATTAAAGCTAGTTGTTTCTTATACTCAATACTTTTTTCTGTGATTTTTTATGACCAGTAGGTGAATACTTGTTTCATAAATTTTTCTAAGACCTGCCTATTGTATGGACCGATGAAGTTTTAATTTATTTTCTAATCGTGTCATCATTATTTTTGTAAATAGTATATGAAAATGAGAAAATAGATTTATGGATCTGTAGTTTCAGAGGCGGTAGTATGACATTTTTATGAAGTACTGAGTTGCTGTTACTGATTCATGCAGACATCTAGTAAACAGTTGGGTAAGGACTTACCAAAATATTTTTCCAGTCACTTTCAAGGCAACTGCCAGTATTTCATTGCTTCCAGGGACTTATTGTTTTTCATTTCTTGCACTGACCTTCAAACTGCATTGGGTATTACAACCGGTAAAATTTCAGACCCCAGATCCCCTTTTTTTGTAAATTGGGTATAAAAACTCTTTATACCCATTGATTGATTCCACCCCTAAATCTGATTGATCATCATCAATCAGCCTTGAGTTGTCCAGTGTTGAACATAGGCCTCCTCTAGATTTTTCTATCTGCTTATGTTCTGCGCCTCTGCTATCCAATTGGTCACGATTCTTTTGAGGTCGTCGGTCCATCGCGTTGGGGGTCTTCCTCGGCTTCGCTTGTCCGCCCGTGGTCTCCACTCAAGCAATTTTTTTGTCCAACTGTCGTCTTTCATTCTTGCAACATGTCCAGCCCATCTCCATTTTTGCCTTGTAATAATGTCTTCCACTCCGGTTCGTCTACGGACTTCCTCGTTTCTTATTCTATCTCTTAAGCTTATTTCAAGCATTGATCTCTCCATTTTTCGTTGTGTCTTTCTCAATTTTTTGGCTGATGTTTTTGTGAAAGTTAAGGTTTCTGCTCCGTATGTGAGGACTGGTAGAACGCACTGGTTAAAAGCTGTTCTTTTTAAATGGATCGGTATATTTGTTTTAAATACGTCTCTTATTTTTCCGAATGCAGCCCAACCCCGACTTATTCTTCTGAGAAGCTCGCATGTTTGGTTATCTCGCGTTAACTTTATTTCGTGACCCAAATACACATATTTTCCACAAATTCTATATGCGACTTTTCGATTTCTATTAGCTCATTGTAGACGAGGTTGGTCATCATTTTTGTTTTTCCATGAGTTTAAATCGACTTGCTGTAGTTGTTGTAGCATAACTCTGGCTTCTTCTAAGTTGTCTGTTATGAGAACAATATCATCGGCATATCTGAGATGATTGAATATCTTTCCATCGATGCTAATACCCTTTGATTTTCACTCTAGCCGTTTAAATGTACTCCATAACTGTTATAAATAGTTTTGGCGACAAGGTATCTCCCTGCCGCACCCCTCTGTTAATTTTTATCTTCTCAGTAATGCAATGAAGGTTAACGGTTGTTGTCGCATTTTCGTATATATTTCGAATAATATTTGCATACCTGTGATTTATTCTGCATTCTGATAGTGCTTTTAAGATAACAACTGTTTCGACTGTGTCAAATGTTTAGTGGAAGTCTACAAAGATAAGAGCAAGGGGTCTGTTATATTCGATTGACTTTTCAACTAGAGTTTTCAGGCATTGCAAATGGTCGTTTGTTCCGTGTCCCGCTCGAAATCCTGCTAAAAACTCTTAGTGTTAATAATTTGTTAGTTAATAAAGTGTTAACAATTTCGATCCTTAATGATTTGTTTCTGTTTATTACTCACCCTAGTTAGGTGGTCGTGAGGTGATTATTAATGTCCTTTAATGGTTTAAATTAAACGAGTTTATATTATTAGATTTTAAGATCTTACCATTATCGAGATTGCGATCATCATCGTCCATATCAAAAAGTTTGATCATCCAAAGAGGACCAAATTCATCATAATGCATTATAAGGTTCTCGTTATTATCATAACCTAAAAAACAAGCGTTTTAAATAATAAGTTTTATTCATACTCCAGAAGACAGAGATGAAAATTCCACTTAACCTGTAAAAATCAAGAACAAGCCTAATTTATCTAAAAATATTAATTTTGGGACTTCACAAAAGATGCTAAAAGTTTACCACTTTTATCCCTAGGCATAGTTTTAAATGTTTTAAATAAACATGTTTTAAATAAAAATTTAGCTGAGTTCATTAAAAACAATAACGTTTATTATCAATTTTTGTGTAGAATAAACCGTTTTCGCAGAAACAACGCTCGAAACGAACGGTAGTTCCAAGCGCGAAATCAATGTTCAATAAAATTTATATTAGTTCAACGGTAAAAATTCGATATCTTTTGATCCAATTATCGACAAAAATCAAGCTTCGTTTTAAAGGCAGAGTTTAGTTTTTGTATGCAATTGTTGTATTTTGCCTAAAGTAAACTTAGATTTAATAAAGGTGTTAAATAGATAAACGTAGGACGATTTTTGCAATTTTTTATGATTTTTATAAGAGTCAAACAAAGTATATTCACTTTATTGACTGGACACTATAAAGGTATGATTACTAAACCCTAAGCTTCAAAACCTGTAGCATGAAATTTTAACTTTGAGTTTTGGCAACAAATGTGACGTATTTGAAATATGCTTAAAACGGCTGAATTTAAACTTTCACATAACAAACAATCTAAAACTTTTTTTTTTTTAGTTAAACCAGTATGTTTTTCAGAAGAACCAAATTTCTGCTATAAACTACATCCAAAACCATTTTGTTGGAAGCATTTTCTGTGACGTGCAATAGTTTGAAATGTAAAACATTAAATTCTACGTTTTGTATTCATATTTTAAATGCCTTATATTCCTAAGGCACAAAACCACCTAAGATTTGCAGATGATGTTGTATTAATCGCAGATAATTTACAAGATACAGTTTCTATGATGCATTCGCTTAAAAGTCTGTCTGAAAGAGCAGGATTAAAGATAAACTTTGAGAAAACTTAACTTATAACAAATCTCGTAATGAGTGGAAATATAACTATTGACAATAATAACATACAACAAACAGACACTTACAAATATCTGGACACGAATTCAAAATAAGCAGAGACAATCAAACACATGAAATAAAGAGGCGAATAGGCCTAACTTGGGCAGCATTTGGCAAATTAAGCCATATTCTAAAAAGTTCAATTCCCATGTGTCTCAAGCGAAAGGTTTATGATCAATGTGTTTCACCTGTACAAACTTATGGAGCGAAGACTTTAACACTCACGCAAAAATCTGCGAATAAACTCAGATTTACGCAACGAGCCATGGAACGTGCAATGCTGAACGTGAGCCTCCGAGACCACATAACAAACCAACAAATCAGGCAAAGATCAGGAGTTCAAAAAGTCATCGAAAGAATCAAGTCGCTTAAGTGGAACTGGGCAGGGCACTTAGCCAAAGCACAAGATGGACGGTGGACAAGACGTATTATGGAATGGAGGCCCAGAAACTATAAAAGAAGACCACTGACTACATGGACCGATGATATAAAACGTGTAGCGGGAAACTGGCTACAAGCGGCCCAGTGTAAAGAACACTGGAAAGAACTGAGGGAGGCCTATGTCCAGCAGTGGACGCGATTGGCTGAATGATGATGATATTCGTTGCTATAACTTAAAAATAAAATTTTGTCGTATGTTTTAAATATTAATTCCTAAAAATGAAAATTTTACTACCACTGCTCAATGAAAGTAATTAACTGTATTGATCTCGCGAGAATCTTAAAAAATGACCAAAATCATGATTATTATTTTTATTCATTTATTTTGTTTATTGATTTAACACCTTTATAAAAACTGAGTTTATTTGCGAAAAAATAAAAAAAAAACGAAAGCTGCACTCTTAACCTTTAAAACGCATTTTCGTATTTATCGATGGAACAATTGGATCAAAAGATATCGAATTTTTACCGTCGAGCTGATAAAAATTTTATTGAAAATTGATTTCGCGCACGTAACTGACATTCAAAATCGATGGTCGCTTCAAACGTTGTTTCTGAAAGAACGGTTTATTCTACACCAACTAATTAACATTCTTATTAGTCTAGGCGGGATCTGTAAAAATTCAGACCATAATAGACATTTTCCATAAGAAGCTATTTTTTAGGCTGAAATCCCTTCAGGATGGGCCCAATATCGATAATCACAATCACGATATGCGCCAGTCGCAAACCGTGCTCAATTTTTTATTACACAAAATCTGAAAACAATTGAAAATTTCTCATTTTTTTGCTCCTATTTTCGTTTATAATTCGGAAAATATTGATCCTAGAGAAAAAATTATAAAAAGTTAAAAGTTCCGCTATTCAATTTTACACAATATTTCGTTAGCTAGAAATTAAAAATTTAATGTTTTTTGTTGAAAAAATAGCAATAATTCGAAAAAAAAGTACAAAAAACTTAAGTTAATCCTTTAAATGTTTTAGACTTTTTAAACTTGACTTACAAGCTCCATATTCCGCCTAGGAAAACTTTTTAATATGTTTTAAAACGTGTGCTAAATTTTTTTAAGATCGGTGGGATAAGTTTTGCATAATAATTTTGCAATTCAGCCTACTGGAAAAAAAATCGCAAATTTTCAAATTTATAGTAGGCCATACATAAGGCCCTCAGGTAGTTGCAATTTTTTTTTACATGTAAAGAAAGGCTCAAACTTCCAAACGCTTTTTATAAAATTAAAATCGGTTCACTCGGAGAGCTTAGAAAACTTTTTAAAGTGTTAAACATTTTTTAGGCTTATAAACAAATTGAATAACTTTACGAGCTTTACACATATCATTTTCGAATCAAAATATATTCTCAAATCAAATAATGTCATTATTATGATAAAACTGCAGAAATTAATTATTTTAAAAAGTTTGATTTTTACAAAAAAAAATTCGTTCGCCTTTGTTTTAACAATTCAAATTATTACTGTTATTATATACTGTTACTTTTAGTAAACAAATATGTATTTATAAATTGTTATTAAATAATTTTAATTGTTAAAACAAAGGCGAACGAATTTTTTTTGTAAATATCTTTTAAAATAATTAATTTCTGCAGTTTTATTATAATAATGACATTATTTGATTTGAGAATATATTTTGGTTCGCAAATGATATGTTTAAAGCTCGTAAAGTTATTCAATTTGTTTATAAGCCTAAAAAATGTTTAACACTTTAAAAAAATTTCTAGGCTCTCCTAGTGAACCGATTTGAATTTTACAAAAAGCGTTTGAAAGTTTGAACCTTCCTTTATACGTAAAAAAAAATTGCAACTATCTTAGGGCCTTATTCAGGCCCTACTATAAATTTGAAAATTTTCGATTTTTTTCCAGTAGGCTGGATTGCACAATTATTATGCAAAACTTATCTGACCGATCTTAACAAAATTGAACATACGTTTTAAACATATTAAAAAGTTTTTCTAGGCAGAATATGGAGCTTGTAAGTCAAGTTTAGAAAGTCAAAAACATTTAAAGGATTAACTTCATTTTTTTGTACTTTTTTTTTAATTATTGCTGTTTTTTCAACAATAAACATTAAATTTTCAATTTCTAGCTAACAAAATATTGTGTAAAATTGAATTACGTAACTTTTAACTTTGTATAATTGTTTCTCTAGGATCAATATTTTCCGAATTATAAACGAAAATAGGAGTAAAAAAATGAGAAATTTTCAATTTTTTTCAGATTTTGTTAAATAAAAAATTTAGCACAGGGTTTGCGACTGGCGCATATCGTGATTATCGATATTGGGCACATCCTGAAGGGATTCCATCAAAAAAATAGCTTCCTATGAAAAATGTCCATTCCAAAACAGATCCCATCTAGACTACATTTAAAATTATCTCAGGTACATTTTTTTCCGCAAATCGCCAGGAAATTTTGACATTCCTGTCAAAATTTCTTGAAGAAAAAGTCAGGACTTCCTTACTGTAAGGAAATGTCATTTCCTTACTGTAAGGAAATGATATTTCCGTACAGTTGTTAGTGTTCTACATAAATTAAATTTATAAGCGTCAAGTTTGACAATTCAACCTCAATACGTTTCCATAGTAACCCAAGTAATTTTATTAGGAATTTCAAAGCACCATTTATTTGGGAATAAAATTATCGCGTTTTTTTTAAATCAATCAATATCTGTCGAATTTTAAACGATTTGCGGAAAAATAGTATGTTTACCTCGTAGGAAAAGCCACATTCCTGGACTCTGTGTTGCTAAGTCTCGGCTTGCGCCTCGACTTCACAGTCGTCCAGGAATGTTAAGCTTTTCCTACCCGGTAAACAATGTACTATTATTTGAAATATTTTTTTCTACGATGTACAGATTCTTGGTATATCGATTTTTTGTGTTTTTACACCCCTACAAGGGGGGTTTTAGGTGGAAGCTCGAGGGTAAATGTAGTAAACTTTTTTGTCATTTTCTCTAAGATTCCAAATAAATATTATCAGCGTAATTCAACTTGTTGGTATTATTTTTAGGAGTCAACTCTCTGACGACTGGACTATCAAATTACATCCAGTTTGTATGCAAATAGATTGGTAATATGTAGCTAAATCGCATTCACCTTTATTGTCAGTTAAATGGTTACTGTCGATTTCATACGGAAGATGATGTTGTAGACTAGTCAATTCCTTTAGACGTGGTAATTGTTCCGAAAAGAATTTATCATAAGTGGCTGAAAAAGTGAAAGTTTTTATAACAACAATCTTATAATGTTTTATACATTGTGTACTTAAATATTCCTTGAATATTCTTTCTTAATAATAACCTGCTTTAGAAGTACTCTGTTTTTTCTAAAATAAAAAACATATAATACAAATATACTAAGCGTTACAATACAGCGCCGTTTTCCCACTGCTACAGAGAAAACTGACTCAAAGCACTCCCTGTATCTTTTGCTAATGGGAGGGGTTTATCGACCACATGAGCCAAAACCATTGGGAAAGTCACGTGGTCAATAGACCTGGCCCATTAAAAACAGTCAGTCTATTTGTATTATATGTTTATTACTCAACCTAACCTAATCTAACCTAAAAACCAACTTCAAAACCGGCAATTCTTCGTATTGTTAAAAGTTTTATGATATAATGCTTTTTTGTAATCAAAGATTTTTTTAGTAGACGGTTTTCTTTTTGATTTTTAAATGGATTACGTTTGGTTTGGTATATTTTAAGTGGTCTAGTACAGTTTTAAATAATTTTTATTTTAGTTTTGTTGAAATTAGTCTCTTACAAAAAAAGACTCGCCTTCTTATATTTCATTTATCTTACTTTATTACATATATCTCCATTCTCATTCTTTGTAATAGCGATATAAGATCCTTCTCCTCATTGTTTTAGTCTTTTTTGGGGCTTAGGTACACTTTCCAAATAATATTAGCTTTCCGTCTACGTTGGCTGGAATCTTCTGTCAGATAAACGGCTATGGTAGGGATTTCCCCACCATAGTGTTGATTTAGTCTGCCTATCTTGTTGTAGATATTTCTCTCAATCTTTGGCCTCTAGTTTTATAATTTTCCAAGTTCTGGCTATGTGATCGAAGTAATTTTGGTAATCTTGGTCTTCTTTTTCTTCATGTGCCTTGTCCGTTCCGAACGTTGGAAATCAACATGGCTATTCTGACTTTGTTTACGGCAGATCTGAATAGTTCAGCAGATGACAATCCGAACCATTGCTGCAAGTTTTGGATCCACGAGTGTCTTCTCCTCCCTGGATCCCTTCTGCTGTCTATTTTTCTTTGAACGATCAGCTGTAGTACTCTATATTTATTATGTCTCATAGCGTGACCCAAGTATTCCAACTTTCTTTTTTTATACTTATTCCTACCTGTCTATCTTTACCTATCCGGCGTAGTACCTCTTCGTTGGTCACGTGCTCAGTCCAGGATATACGTAATATACGTCGGTAAGCCCACATTTCGAAGGCCACTACTTTTTTCATCAATGTTGCGGTCATTGTCCACGCCTCCATTCCATATAACAAAACCGGGAATACATAACATTTCAGAAGTCGAATTTTGAGAGGTTGGGTGAGGCTTTTAGAGGTGAAAATCTGCTCCATGCTAGTGAACGATGCTCTTACCTTTTCTACTCTTATACGTATTTCCTTCGCTTGATCCCAATTTGAGTTAACTGTTATTCCCAAGTATATGTACGAATCCACGTGTTCAATTCTTTCATTGTCTAATATCAGTTACTGTGGTGGTTGTTGGGTTTTGCTTACTAACATCCATTTGGTTTTTGTGATATTTAGTCTGAGTCCGTATTGTGCACTTGTTTTTTGTATCTTACTCATTAGGCAACTGAGTTCCTCCATGTAATCTTGGTGTAATTGATAATCTTCTTCTTCCTCGGCCTTAAGTAATCCAACTTTGACCATCGTGTCTGTGTGTTTGTCTTTGGACAGTTGTGTCCTCCGATCTTCTTAATGTCATCAACTAATCTTATTTGTGATCTGCCTCTGCTTCTCTTACTTAATCATGGTCTCCATTTTTGTATTTTGTGGTTCCATTTTTTATCCTCCAGCTGGGAATTGTGTCTTGCGAAGCTCCATTTTAATTTGGCAGCATGTTCTTCTGCGTCTTTTACTTTAGTTTTGCTTCGAATCCATTTGTTTGTTTTTTTGTCTATAAGTCTTACCCCGAGCATTGATATTTCCATTGCTCTTTACTATTTTATCCATATTAGACTTGGTGAGTGTCCTCGTCTATAAATCATACTTGAGTATAGAGAGGATACACTGATCGTAAATTCTGGTTTTTAAATATTGATCTGTTTTAGTGCTTTTTAAGATCCAACTTAGTTTTCCAAATTCTGCACAGGCTAACCTAATTCTTCTAGTAATTTCGGCAGTTTAATTTTCTTTGTTAACTTTTATTATCTGTCTCAGGTAGACGTATTCGCTTACTGTTTCTAAATTTATGTCATACAAAGTTATTTCTTTAATGTTCGGTGTATTTGTCATTATTTTTGTTTTTTTTTTCAAGTTCATCTTAAAACCTACTTTTTCCAAAACTTGAAATAGTTACGTCATCATAGTCTGTAGTTTTTCCAAACTTGTAACGAATATTAGAATATCATCAGCGTATCTGAAATGACTTAGTTTTTTTCATTAACATGTATTCCTTTATCTGCCCAGTAAATGTCTTTGTACACGTCTTCCAGTCCAAGTATGAATAGCTTTGGTGAGATGATATCTCCCTGATGAACTTCTCTGTTCATTGGTATAGCTTTGGTTTTTCATTGCAGCTATTTGTATTTTCATTGTAGCTTTCTTGTAAATATTATGTATGAGCATTCTCTATTGGAAGTCTGTCCTGCAGTTTTTCATAGCTCTCTCTATTGTCCAAAGCTCTTTGAAGTCGAATGCCTGTTCATAATCAACGAAGCCTTTAACCTTAAGCCTTTAACCTGTAACCTGTAAGCCTTATAACTTTAAGTGATTTTCGTTGGATTTCTCTTTTAGCTTTCTGACTATAAGAAGTTGATCCGCTGCTCTACCAGTTGATAGCTATCGAGGATCGATCCATAATTGTTAAACTATACTTAAAACTATTAGTTTTGATAGTCATCTCACCTTTAATTGTGTTTTTTGTAGTAATTCTACCTTTAAGTGGACTAAATTTTTGTCCTGATTAGTTTTACACACTATAAGAGCTCTACTTTTCCAGTCGTATAGAGAATCCATTCAGGAACACTACATTATTAAAATATATAATAAACAATAAACAATATAGCTAAGGCATTAGAATATCAATAATTAATAATGGGTGAAAAGGATAAACTAAAGGGAAGTTTAATAGATTTAATTCTAAAAGATAGAGGGAAAGCAAGTCAATTATTTTGTAAACAAAAATTGCTTTAAAAACAACGTGATATGGGTCGACAAATGTTCTTCTGTAGCCAATGTTTACTTTGACCACAATCCTCTGATAGATGACTTTAATTTGAGGGTAAGACTATTATAATTGCTATTAAAATGAAAATAAGCCACAATTATTAAAGGTTAAAATACGTTTATTGACGTTTCAACTTCCTCTTCGGAAATCGTTCTCAAAATTCTGTATTTTTAGAACGATTTCCGAAGTGGAAATTGAAACGTCAATAAACGTATTTTCACCTTTAATTGTAGCTTATTAGCATTTAAATAGCAATTACTTTAAAATAAATAGAGAAATAGAGAAAATAAAAATAAAATAAGATTTTAAATCTAAAATGGATAAAAACATCGAAATATATAAATCAATTGGGAAAAAAAGCCTGTTACTGAGACTGAAAAATTATAAAGATTATCGTGAAACATGCACCACAAAAAGTTATTAGATATACTAAGCGAAGATCAAAGAAATTTTATAAATGTACATGCGTATTCTCCTTTTTTTTTATACCGGGTGGTGAATCGTCAAACGGGCCATAGGAAACTCAATGGGAAATTTTAAATTGTTGAATTTCTGCTTCCCTAATTATTTTAGATCAAAAGTCATAAAAAACTATTTGTAGAGGACTAAATTCTGAATTAAAAACAAATGTTAAAACCGTTCTACGAATCAATACACGTAATACAAGAATATATTAAAAAGTGTGTGTTCTATCCATTTATCATATCGATGTCAGATGTTTGACAATTTGAATTGTCAATTTTTTTTATTTTATGATTAAATTATAAACAATGAATTTTACTAAATACTACTACTACTCATGATATAAGGAAACATGGTATGCTCACGCGCATCTATTTTGAACAGCCAATCGCGTTTGCCAAATATGTACAAATTTGATAAAAAATATCGTAGTTAAATTAAATAAAATAAAAATTCTACATTAATCCATGATATAAGGAAACAAGGTATGCTCACTAGGTGGACTCGTTTTTGCACATTTCTGCGCCGACCAAAATCCACCATCTTTTCAATATGTCACATGCTTGTAGGGATGGTGACCTGATCCCGTACCAGTTACTTTGGAACATGTATTTTATTTATACTTGTGGAACTGATCCCTAACACCAATATATTATAATAAACGAGTACGGGTTTCATTGCATTTGTCCTTAATTTTTATCGTGCATTTCTCAACGTTTACAAAGCTTTAGATAAATATCAACAGATGACAATTGGCGTGAAGTAGACAAAACTATCGCCATTTTTTTATGAACTTTTTATACAATCTCTGAATAACAGTAATTTAAGTATTTGAAGTTTTACAGTCATTTAAATAACTATAAAGAAATCTAACAAAATACAAAGAATGTTGTCGTTATGTTTAGATATCTATTAAACGAATAATAACAAACTGATTTCCAAACCAGTATTTTTTAACAGGTATATTTGTTTACGCATATCAGTTTGACCTGATCCACAAAAATACTTGGATCAACCACCTCTACATGCTTGACGTCTGCTGTGTTTTCTTACTTTGCAATGTATTGGAATTTAAAAGTAAATTTGTTTCGATTTTTTTAAAATTATTTTAGCAAGAGTCTGTTCAGATCATTTTAAATCTGAATTAATTGGATTAATGTAGAATTTTTATTTTATTTAATTTAACTACGATATTTTTTATCAAATTTGTACATATTTGAATTGCCGCCTTCAAAATGGCGGATTTTGGTCGTAAACGCGATTGGCTGTTCAAAATAGATGCGCGCGAGCATACCATGTTTCCTTATATCATGACTACTACTGACCAATATTACTTTGTGAACAATAAATTATATTGTTTACAAATCGATCAATATAATGAAATGTACTCAGTTGACGAAAAATCGCATAATGTTGTATTCAGGCAATAGCGCGAACCTTTTCCTGTCACTACCGGATCTTTATTTAACGTAAGATATTCTAATACACTAAAATTTAATTCCATGTTAAGTTAAGTTATACAACAATTCAATGAATTCCAATATACTGTTACTGTGATCTTTATTCCTATTAATAATATATGATAATTTCTAAACATAAAACTATACAAATGATATAATAAAACATGAATAAAACATTTTTATTATTGCTCTTTTCTCCTTAACTGAATACATTTTTTAATCAACTTAATTTTTCTTTTAAATAATAAATCACAAAATTTTGGCCATTTAAATCATAGATAAATATAATATAGTTGATTTAAATATTGTCAAATATTAGAAACGTCCATATGACAAAACGCAACACGTAATACACATTCTTTTCACGTCGTCTGGCCTGACTTTTAGGGGTGGCCTGAAAAATGTATTATATTTTAGCAAAATTTTGGAATACGTTTAAGTCGTAGAACAATTTTAACAATTGTTTTCGATACATATTTGAGTCCTCTACAAAATAATTATTTTACACCATGACTTTTGGTGTAAAATAATTAGGGAAGCAGGAATTCAACAATTTAGAATTTCTCATTGAGTTTCCTATGGCCCGTTTGACGATTCACCACCCTGTATAAATTGACATCTACAAGAAATAAGGCAGAAAAATTTAAAGCGTATGTGTAAATTTATATATTATTTTGGTTTACTTTCATAATGTGGAAATTTTGGTTCAGCAGGTTCCTGATAGTGATGGTAATCCTCATCGTCATTTAGATCCGGTTCTAAGGCCTCACCATACGCTAAAACCGAAATTACTTATCAACAGCTAGAAAAGTTATTTTTAAAACGTATTAATTTTAACATTTTGATAAAATAAAAAAATATTTATTTAGGGAAATTTCTACAAACTAATTGATCAAAAATGTTAATTAAAAAAAAATTCTGGTATTGACCGTATAAAAAAAGAGAAAAAACATGCAGAACCATTTGATAGAACCAAATTAATAAAGTAGATGGCAAATAAAAGATTGCATTATATAAATTTTATAAGGTTTATACAAAAACAACAAATTAAGAACACGCAATCAAAATATTTTATAGTTCGAAGTAAAACTAGAACAAAAAAGAGACTTAAATCTGTCTAGTTTTTATCATTTATGGATAATGCATTAAAGAAATCAAAAATATAAAAATATTAGCCCAGTCCCATATTATTTGGACCAAAACCAATATTCAACACAATTGTATTTTTCTGGATTAGAATTTATTTAAAAATTATAAATTAAACAGATTCGATTAAACTCAATTGATACTATGTAGTTTTACCAATGAATCAACAATATCTATTTTATTAATTACAATATATAAAAGTAAAAGAAAAATCGTAAATTAATTGGACTATCACTGAATTATGAACCATCACATTAATTTAGCGATCAAAAATTTATTTAGCCAAAAAAATCTCCTGTATATATGTTGTTGATTTTTGAATTTTAATTTTAAAGTGTGTGATAAATAATTAATTTACGAAATTAGTTAAATAATTTAATATAGTTGCTTGTCAAAATGGTTCGCGCAAAGTGTTTTATAACACAGGACATAACAAAGGACTTTCTGAACATACAATTACTCAAAATTTAAGTATTCATCCAGAAGCTGTGAGAAATATAATTTCACAACATGCAAGTTGTAGATGAAAATGGTGGATTGTGCATTTTTTAAATAAAATAAAAGTAAATCAATTTATGTGTTTTCTTTACTTTCATAATTGAGCGATGGTGGTTTAACAGATTCCTGAGAATGGTGTTCTTCAAGATCGACATTAGGATCATATTCTAAAGCTCGACCATTAGCTAAAAAGGAAAAATAATTATTAAATTAATATTGGAATATTAAGGAAAATAAAAAAGAATGTCAAGTATAAATTTCTTTACAAACTAATGGTTTACGAAATCAGTTTTATACAGAATTTTATCTTGTCAGATAGGCGAGAAAGCGAAGCACTAAACCTACCAATTTTTCGCTGCAAGCAAGATGAATTGCTCTAAAACTTTTTTCATTCGATTTGGTAAAGTGAAAGTTTGTTATGCATTTTGTGCATAAGAAAGATACATTTCCGAAGTGCAGAGATAATTTACAACCAAAAAAAGTATCGGCAGCAATAATTTTATTTTATTACATGGGTGTTTTTGAGGTCGCTAAATATAAATATGATATAACACGACAATGGTTCTTAAGCTACCTGGTATCCAAGATGGACCTCGTCTCCTAAGGTATGTTAATTTCTTTATAAATCAGTCAGCAATCATCACTAGTGGATTTTAGAGGTGGCTGAATACAATACTATAATAACGATGTTGGTCCTCGCGCTACCTGGTGCCCAGAGGGGACCTCGTTTCCTACGTTTTTATGTTATTTTCCTATTAAATCGGTCTAAAGTTATATCTTGGAAATTTTCGAGGTTGCTAAACAGAAATATTATGATGGCGATGATCCTTGAGCTACCTAAAGCTGAAGCCTCTTCTGAATTTTTATGTAATTTTTATGCGGAATCAGTCAAAAGTAATTACTTGGGGCTTTTTAAGGTCAATATTACTACGAATTACTACAAATAATATGACAGAGCATACCAATTTGCGACAATCATGTCAGAAGACTTTGAGGTTTTCAGAGCAACAACTAACATATCCACAGAGGAAGCTACAGTTACCTGAGGAAAGAAATGTTAAAAGCTTAGAACGTTTCAAAAGACAAGAAAAGATTAATGCGAGTTCATAGTAAAAAAAAACTTATCGACATAGCTCGTAACAAAGGGGAAAAAATAATAAAATATGTATATAAGATAGAAGGCAACAGTAAAATACGTATTTCCTACTATTTTATCGCATTGCTCATATAGTGATCCTTTTTAGATTAACATTCTCCTATATTAACTCGGCTGCACTATACTGATGACGACTAAATAGTTAGAAATAAGTATTTACGGTGGCCTTCTATCTTATGCGCATATTTTAATATATATCTTTTCCTTTGTTGCAAGCTATACTGATACTGTCTAGCTAAACTAATTTGTGTAATTTTCTTTACTTTCGTGTTTTAGTGAGGGTAGTTCAGCATGTTCCTGGGAGTGATGATGTTCGAGATGGTCTTCAGGATCATGTTTTAAGATTCGATCATATGCTAAAATCAAAAATTAATTATCAAAAACTTTAAAGGCTATTTTAAAACTATTCCAAGGAAAGATATAAAATCCAAAAAAAAAGAAAAACTAAAAACACCTTAAAACATTAATTTAAATAAAAATTTATGCAAAATAAAACAAATAATTTTAATAATGGACATGTGTAAACTAATTTGTTTTGTCGTGTTGTGTAAATTAACTAATAATGTTTTTCTTTACTTTCATCTTCTAGCGATGGTGCTTCAGCAGATTCGTGAGGGTGATGATCGTGTTCTAAGGCTCGGCCGTAATCTAAAAACAAAAATTAATGGATAAAGCCTAGAGTTAAATAAACAAAGACAATAGATAAAATTATATTAAAACCCTTTTAGTATTTAAAAATTAATTATTTTTTTTTTAATTTCTTTATATGGTTATTTCCGTTATTATTTGTATATTTATCTATTTAGACATTTAATTTATATAGTGTTAATAAAAGGCAATATTTTGCGCATGGTCAAACGACCGCTTTGTCTTTTACTTCTTGTGTTGATCAAAATATTTGGAACCAGTTCAAGTAAAACACTATTTTAGTTATAGTTTTAGTTAAGTATAGTTAACATGTTACAAAATAATATAAAAAGTGTTACGAATACTGGACAGAACACTAAAGAAATAATTCTCTACTCTGATAAGAAAAGGAGACTTATTTATGCTCTCCACACGAAGGCTTTTTACACCTATAGCAAAAAACTGTCGTTTTCCGGTTATTTTTACAGCCACAAAAGTGACATATATCATGTACTCTTCCATTTGTTGGATTTTTGTCTGTGTTAGAAATATTACATATAGCCCTAATACGTAATTTCAGGTCTCAGTTCAGATTTTCTACTGGCGTTCGGACTCAAAGATGCTCTTCTATGAAAGAAAATTCGAAAAGCTTCAAATATTTTCTCCAAGCACTTTTTTTCAGCAGCGTTGCTACTTGTATAAATCACTAGCGAATTAGTGCCTGTTGTATTTGGTATTGTGTTAAAAACAACCATGAGCCAACGTCTTGTCAAAAAAGCCGATAAGAGCGCGAATCTTACATGGGTTTGTAAGATTGGATTTATATCCCCTAAAAACTTGCTTGCTATAGTTTTAATATAGTTATAAGTATTTTTCACAATTTTGTAAATAATGTCATTAATAAAATAACTCCATATTTCATACATGTTTTTCAAGTCTTTGGAATTCTATTATTTAAATATTTTATTACATTAGTCTTGCTTATAATTATATATACTCTTTTGTTTCTTTTTGGATGTTTTTTTCATACTATACCTTTTTTCCTAAAAACAATTTTTTCTTGAATGTTATTTAGTTAAACTTTTCTTATGTCCCCTAAATCCAGTTCTTGTTTGCTTTTCAAATCTTCAATCTCTCATCAATAACTTTCAGATTTACATAAGTCTCGTCCTCGTCGTCGTCATTTTCTATATCAATAGATATTATTTTTCCATAAAGGCTTAAAGTCTTCTTTGTTCCTTCTCATAGTCGATTTAGAAAATAGAGTGAAACAAATTAAATGTGACAATTTGGGAAATAAATCTTTGATACTCAGTAACAGAAAAAAATACATGGTGACCAGTAAAGTGGATATCAGCGCAACCCAACTGATATTAAACCAACAACCGCTGCAGAGAGTTCAGAGATTCAAATACCTTGGATGTTGGATTACCCAAAATCTAGATCCATACTTCGAAATTCGATGTAGAATTGAACAGGCAAGAAACTCATTTCAAAAATTCAAGCCTCTATTATCCAATAACTCATTAAATTTGGAAATCCGTGAAAAGTTTGCAAGATGTTACGTGTGGTCTGTACTTTTGTATGGATGTGAAACTTAAACTTTAAACGCCGATATCATAAATAAAATCGAGGCGTTTGAGATGTGGTTGTATCGAAGAATACTAAAAATTCATCAACGAACTCTATTAAATTTTATTAAGAGGCGTAAACTAGAATATCTTATAAACAGGGTTGTTATCAACAGGTCCTCGAAGATACTTCGTCTCAGGACCATATAACCTATGTAGGGCCATACGTCGCCATGTTACCAATTCCAATGGTAACTTAAACATCCTAATTTGTAATTATAAATAATGTAAAACAACTAGAAATTTGTAACATTTAAAGGGTTTTCACCGATATTTTGGTGGCTCATAGCATATTACTCCGTTTACACTGACGATGGAATTAACATTCCGAAAATGGTCTGTAATGTAATTGTGATAACCCGTTTGGGCATTTTATTATATCCATCCAATGGCACTACAGCCCAAGCCGGGCCTTGGCCTCCTTCATTAAACCTCTCCAAACAACTCTATTTACTGCTGTTCTTTTCCATGAACGCGTTTTTAGGAGATTTTTGGCATCCTCATCTACCTCGTCTTCCCATCTCTTTTTTGGTCTTCCAACAGGTCTTTTTCCTTGCATTCTTGCGTTTAGTAATTTTCTGGGGATTCTGTTCTCATGCATGCGGGCCACATGCCCTGCCCATCGTAATCTCTGCAGTCTAGTGTATTGTGCTAGTGTTGGTTCAGTGTATTGTTCGTATATTTCGATATTATATCTAATTCGCCAGTTGTTATTTTCCTTTATTGGACCCAGTATTCTACGCAATATTTTTCTTTCGCAATATGGGTCGGATTATTGTTTTATATACCCGGAGTTTTGTTTTCCGGTGTACGTCTCGCGATTTGAATATGTGGCCCATCGCGAAATAGGCTTTGTTTGCCAGCATAAGCCTTCAATTTATTTCCGGTTCTTCTTCATTATTTTTGACCAGATCCATTCCTAAATACGTGAATCTATTCACGTATTCTATATCGTCTATAAATTGTTGTTGTTGCGCCTGTCTATTTGATCTGGTTTGTATGAGTAGTTTTGTTTTATTTGTATTTATTGTTAGCCCTACAACTTCTGAACTCTGTTTCAGCTGAACGTAGGTTTCTTCTGCCGCACTCTTTGTTCTGCTCATTATGTTTATGTCATCTGCGTATGCTGCTAATTGGGTAGATTTGTTTGTAAGTATGTTATTTCTGCTCACCGTCAACCGTCTAATTACATATTCAAGAACAAGATTAAAAAGTGTTGGTCCGTCACCTTGTTTCAGTCCTTGCGTTGTCATAAACGCATCAGTGATCTGTCCTTGAATACATACATGTGCTTCTGTTTCTGTCATTGTCATTTGCACTAGTCTTATTAATTTTGATGGTATGCCAAATTCTTGTAATATATTAGGTAGTATTGTTCTACCTATTGAATCATAGGCTTGCTTAAAATCTACAAAGAGATTGTAGACGTCTATGTCATATTCCCATGCTTTGGCTAGTATTTGTTTAACTGTAAATAGTTGGTCAATAGTAGATCTATTTTGCCTGAACCCTGCTTGATATTCCCCGATAATTTTTTCAGTGAGGGGTTGAAGTCTTCGATTAAGAATGTTTGTGAGTATTTTGTATCCCGAACAAAGTAAAGAGATGCCTCTATAATTCTGGCATAACAGTTTGTCTCCTTTTTTATGAATAGGGCAGATTATACTTTTCTTCCATTGTTGTGGGATTTTTTCTTCTCTCCATATTTCTTGTAGAAGCTGGTACATCTGTTCTGTCAAATTTGTTCCTCCCTGCTTGAACAGTTCTGCCAATTCTGCCATTTTATTATATACCTTTTATAAAGGATTTGAAATAACATTTTTTATGATATATGGTATACAGCCAGCTACAGGAACTTAGTTTCCCAGTAGATCCCATACTATTGCTGTTTGCAATAGAGTTTTTAGCTGTTTTACCGTGAGTAGATTTAAAAGCAGTCATTTTTAAAATGGTTGAAGAAACAAAATAAAGAAACTATTACAAAAACACCATAAAGATCAACAATAAGAAAACTCCCGGCAAATAGAAAGTGTTTAAAACTAATATATAAAAAAAGTGCATTCAGTTAATATTCAAATCTTACTTAAATTCTTAGAGTGGGGTAAGACTTAAATTATTAAAAATAGTAAAAAAATTTTTAAAATATGTATTGCAAGAATTAAACTTTTTTTAAGAGAAGCGCAATAGAACTTTTGTTCTTAAAGAGAAAGAAAAAATAATTTGTTAGCCAAAGTATCTTAAATTCTCGATCTCTATTAATCACGATTAATAAATATCTGCATAACCATTTTAAATGCAAAATTAACATAATATCATTATATATAAATCATAAATTTTTGTGCATAAAATGGATAATGTATTTTAAAATAATATAGGTATTTTTCTTTACTTTCTAATTTTAGCAATGGTGGTTCAGGAGGTTGCTGGGAGAGTACATCATCCGGATTCGGCTCTAAGGCTCGACCATAAGCTAAAAAAGGAATTAAATATCAAAAAAATAAATTTTACTACTTACTATTTTTTTTTTTTAACAAATCACAATTTTATTTTAGAATAAGTTTATTTTACCGTTTTGATTTCCTGTTTGGAAATCGTTTTCAAAATAAAAAACATTTATAAACTAAACAAATTTTCTTTTTTGTTGCTTGGTAAAAAATTCTTTTAATAATTTAATTTTATCTGTCCCATTAACTTTCTTGAAAGATAGTTTGTTCGATTACATAGAATCAACTTAAACTTAAGTATACTTATGATAAACATCATAGAATTTGTCTTTAAAAACACAACCACATGCAACGATGACAGTAAAATTCTCCTGTTAGTGATCCCATAGTGGTATTCCTACCTTCTAATAGTGGTTTTTTTCCATTTACCGATTTTCTCTTTTGATATAAGTAACCAGATTCTACTGAAAATTATTCATGGCATCTACCTTTGAGTTATGGCGTCTGCAATTATAGTCATGTTATGTCATATCGTATAAATCCACAGACATGCTGTAATAAGTATTGCCTAGTTTTCAATGACTTCTAGCCTAAAGAAGCATCAACCTATAACAGCTGTTTACATGATAGTTATTGCATTACACTTTCTATTCAGACAATCTCTAGCAATTCCGTAATTATATTACTTCTTCTTCGTCAGTGCCTTATCCTGTCCGGATTGTTGGCGATCATTAATACTATTATGGTTTTGTTGACTGTTCTGTGAAACAGAGGTTGTCTCAAATCATTATCGGAGGTTTTTTTAACCACGAGATACGACGGCGTCTCGGTCCTCTCCTGCCAAGTACTTTACCTTGCATAACGAGTTGAAGAATTCGATATTTTTCTTCGTTCTGCATCACGTGCCTGAGGTACTCAAGCTTACCTTGTTTTATTAAATCAAGCATTTTCATTTCTTTCTAATGCGCTGTAAGACCTCAACATAGGTGACATGGTCCACATACGATATTTTTAGTATCACTCTGTAGATCCACTATAATATTTTACTAATATATTACCCAAAAATAATTTCTATCTGTGGAAAGAAAAACTTGTGAGTCAAAGAGTTAACATAATTAGAGCCCATTCTTTGAGTTTCCTCTGTTTCTGTCAGGTCTATACTTGAAATTGTTCCACTAAATTCTTTGTTCATTTTCCCATGCGTGTTTACATATTGAGATCTATTAAATTCTTTATTTTTATTATGAGATTGATGTTTACTTACGGTTTAATGGTCTTTATGTTAACCTAAACAAAAATTTTTATATTCACAAGGTGTTTTATAAATACAATTTATTGCTCCTTCTTTTTCATTGTTATTTTAACTTTAACATTTTTCATTGTTAACAACATCTAAAACAACAAAAAACGTTGAGATCTATTTTATTTAAAAATAAACCTAACAATGAATAGAAAAATTAAAGAATTTGTGAATATGAAATTTTTTATTTGTGAAAGTGAAAGATCAAGAACACTTAAAATTAAACGTATATTAAAATATCCATATTAAATCCATATTAAAAGAGGAAATAAATATAAATAAAATGCTACATTGAGGATACACAGTTTTTGTTTAAAATAACATTCATATAAAATCAGAGTTTGGTGTTAATATTGAGAGTTGGATAAATGTTAGACTAAATAAAACGGTTGTCTTTTAAAGACAAATCACATGATATAATTTGTCTGACGGATAATTGTTTTAGCAGTTAAAGCACACTGCGATTAAAATGGGCGTATCACTTACTTTTCTACACTGCTTACGGCAGACCATCTTTACTCAGTGCCGCCGGCCGATGGTTAGTTTAATGACAACAAATGCATTATTCCCATTCAAATTAGTTTTGTCGGGAATACCTTTTTTGATTCATTATCGTAGATAATGTTCTTCAAAGTTGGAAGACGCTTTTCTCGATTATTACTGGACACAGAAAGGTAAACGAAAAATCAACGATTAGAGAAAACAATTCCTTCAAGTGATGGGCGTAAAAGTTTTGGTTAGAATAGAACGTTAAACAGTATAATCCAATTTTCCAACAGAAATTTCAAAAAAATAAAAAAAAAAGTAAAACTATCATTTTAAAGACAATATAATTTCGAATAACGTGTCCACATTTCAAGATATTTTGTCGGTAAATAACAGAGGAAACACTGTCCCTAGGTTTTAGCGCACCGATAAAACAGCCTTAAGTTTTAGTTGATTTCATGTACTAGAATAATCTTCCAATAAAATCGTCCCAGGAACGCAACTCGAAAATATTGCCATTTTCTTTAAAATATATAATATGGACGAGTCAGATAAAATTAAATTATTTGAATAATTTCTAAAAAGCAAAAAAATATTTTTTTAATGTGTTAATGTTTTGTATTTTAAGAATGATTTCCGAAGTGGAAATTGAAATTTCAAATAATCTTAATTTTAAAGTAAAATTGTGGCTTATTTCCAACAAAAATAGTAAATTACATTAAAATGCCACATAAAAGTAGCTTCAGAACAATAATACATTTAATTAAAACAACCAATGTTATGGAGTAATATTAAATTTCACTAAATAAATAGACCAGAAATAATATTAGAAATAAGATATCTTACCCAAAGATATAAAAACCAAAAACAGAAAAGGTCCATATACCTTAAAAAATAAAATAAAAATAAAAATATAATTTAATTAATAAAGTTTCTTACTTTTCTCATTGTAAACCGGTTGTGTAATTGTTGATTATTAAATGAATACTACGATATTTTGCTAGATATCTATGTTATATTTTTATCTTATTATTATTTGCATTATATTTGCCTTGTTTGTGTAATACAAATGATTCATTTTTTTTTAATAAATGTGTTTTATTTAAAATATTGGATAAGACACGTTTTTTCTCAGACAACACAATTGTTTGTTAGTTTAAAGCTTTATGGTGGATATTTGAGATACTTTAAATACCCCATTATTTGTTACTGCCACCATTATTTTTTAATACTACAGCAATTAATACATCTTTATCAAAAGTCGTCTAATTGTGTTCTACTTTAAATCTGTATGTTTCAGGTTATCAACTTTGATGACATTCATTATTCCTTTTTCATCAACTAAATCAAAAATTGTTTACTTTAAATAATTAATAAGAAAACTAAAACGACAAGAACGTTTTTAATGGTAACTTGATTAGCTAGATAGTATAATTTCATACAGTAGATACATTATAAATCCCGATGAACGTCATAGGCGTAATAGAAAGGGACGTCAGATGGTATCCATACAAAATATTTAAGTATGTAGTAGGTCTTTTTCTTGTTAGAATTTTTATCCAAGTACAATGGAATTACAGCCATCAGACATATTTTATTACTTACGCTTAAAAATAATATTGAAAGATATCTATTATTATGAACTTAAAGCAGTACATCATATCTTATTTCATTTTATTTCTATAAGTGTATCATAAGGTATTTTTATGAAGAACACTTGTTTGGATCACACTTTAACTGCGATCAAACGAAGGTGACATTTTGTCAAAAATGGTACCAGTTATTTGACAGTTGCGGTGTTGACTGTTCAGATTTGTTTTTATTATTTACTATTCATCTATATTCATCTGTTTTCTTAGAACACATTTAATGTCATTTAACTCCAAAATGTCATAGAAAAAGCCAAATAGTCGTTGTAAAGAGATGGCAGCTTATTTGATTCATAATGTTGTTCAAAAAGGTGATAATAACGGTCCATTTTATCCTTGACTGCTGTTAGGACAGTACGTAATGTACTTGTTATATGTTTATGTAGATGATTAAAATATACATTCTTGTTTTAGCGTGTAGTTGTAGCTTTAAATTTATATATTTCAACAGTGAGTTTTATCTCTCAGATCATAAAAACTCTAATACACCTCTAACACCACCACCCTAAAAACGTATTAGGCCTAAGAAAGTTACCAATACTGAAATAATAAATACAAGCGAAATTTGTAATACAATTTACAGTACGTAAGTATACTTTTTGTTTGATATCATACGCCGTATTAAATTTTGTGTAATTAAACAAGAACAGATTTGTTTAATTTAGTGGAAAAATGGACATGGACACAGCCACCTTTACTTCCAAGCCATGAAGTAAAAAAGGCAACACCGCATTCTATGACGTCGGTAGTCAATCAGCTGTAAGGTCTACCAGAATATTAAACTAATTTGAATTTTAGGAAACTGATATTTTGAAAACTTTAATTCATTACAGAAATATTTTTAGGGAAATTAAATTAATAAAACCTTATATATACCTAGTAAATATATATAAAGTTTTATTATTATTTAGGTTATATTATCAATAAAATAATCACTAGAGTAAAATTTATTGCACTTAAAATAAAGTGTCAAACAGTTAATCTTACAATCAAATGCAGTCAAGAATCTCTAGAAATTTTAAATATTAAGTACTTGAGCATATAAATAACACAATACATTAACACGACATTTAAAAAGATTATTAAAAATACAAAAGATATAAAATTTGTGCTAAGTAAAAACTTAGTGTAACTATTATGATTGAAAAATTCATCCTAAAAAATCAGACACAATATAAATATGGTTCTAAATTAATCTAATTGAAAATTAAATATTTTAATATTTACTTATAACTTTTGTTGAATTTTCATACTTAGATATACAAAAGTAGCAATTTTAAATATGAATAGGTTTGTTGTCATATAGACCAAGTTAAAAGAGGTATACATGAAAAATGTGTTGAATGTAACATACCATTTATAACTTATCGATTTAAAATAGCCTATATTCTCAAAAGATTTTTGAATGTAATACTCAAATTTGTTATCACTTATCTAAAAAGCAGATCTAAATGAGAAAGTAAGTTCTCTAACTGTGACCATCTTGTTAATTTACTATATTCTAAAATCCATTTCAAATCATTACCACTTAATCTATTCTTACCTACATTGACCATTACACTAAAATTACTGCTAACTATTACACTACATATTACACAAATATTATCACACTTGTGTCCCAACGAATTAATGTTTAATACATAGAAATATACACAGTCACTTGTAATTTTACTTGTCCAGTTTTTCAATGGGATATTATTGTCTAAGTCTAATTGACATAATTATGTTATCTCTTGTTCCCTCTTCTTATGCAAAAAGTTCCTTCTGTCTTCGGGATTCCTTCTTTCTTTAGTACGATGAACAGTTACATATGATGGTACTTCAGCAAATATATTAGGAACTGCATTGCCTTTTAATTTGAGAAATATTAACTTTTCAATGTGTACATTTCCATCTTTATCTTCTTATTGTTCAGTCCGCTGAATATCATCTTCATGAAAATGTTTGGCTCATATTACGGATGATTTGGTAATTGTACAGCCTTCTCTATGAATAATATAATAATAGAGCATAACGCAGTATACCTTCATTGGGGATCTTTGGGAAACAAAAACATACTTTCTGCCTGTTTCGTTTTTAAAGTACTGGCATAATTGATTTTGCAACCAGGTACACAACAATGCCAGAGCATCTGTAACAAAAAACAAAAGTATTACTATTGTTGTTTTTAGTTTACATATTTTGTAACAAGAAGCAAAAGTATTATTATTTTCAGTTTGTTTTGTAGGTTATATTTATACTTGCCTTTTAAATTGTCGTTAAGGATCTTCTAAAAGTTCTAAATCTAATAAAATTTCACTTATATTAATATTTTCTAATTGATTTTAACACAATTTACAAATAAAACATTCGAATAAAGTTAAAAAAACAATAAATTCAACAAACTTTACAAGCCTTTCTATATGAAATGTTAAACCAAAACCAACCAAAACCACAGTCGGACTACCACGCGTTGTTGCCAAATTTCTACTTCATAGCTTGGAAGTAAAGGTGGCTGTGACATGGATAAAACAAACATGGAAATCAAATTTAATTATTTTCAGACGAACAGACGATTTTGACACTTTATGGATTAAATTGAAGGAATAAGATTTGTTTAATGACTGTCGTTAGTAATTATCGTATGTCACTCAGTATTATAATGAAAGTAGTTTTAAACGGCCAAAAGATCGTCTAAGGAGAGGACTGCTGAAACATTCTCATATTACTAAAAAAAAAGCAGAATTTTTAAGTGTAAAGTTTGCTTTATATATAAAATTTAAATATTGTAGAATAAATTTTTAGGTCGCTCAAGCCAAGATGAGAATAAAAGAAGTGTAACATCTACTAAAACTGATGGAAAGTGGTAATACATTCAATTATATTAAAAACTAGCGGACCCGACAGATTTCGTTCTGTCAAATATATTTGGAATGTGGCAGTTTATTTCTTTATTCTCCTGAACAGAACCATCACCATGATGTGAGGGTCAGCTCGAGTGGCATAAGTATGTTCGCCTCGAAGAATTTTGTCCAGCCCTTTGGATCCACTAAAAACCCCGACTTGTGGTCATAGCAAAAGCAAGCTGCATTGGAAACTGTAGTCGTTTAAATTCAAATGGTACATCAGTCGGAATAGTTGGGATGCGTGGTATCAAAACGTCTTCTCCTTTATACATTCATTTCAGTATAGTTGCTTCTATCACGTTGTTCAATAATTGTTTTATCGATAACCGTGTGCCGTTGCAAAGACGTTTGCAGTTAGTTGATATTTCTCAACCTTTAATTGAAGCTATTGAGGATGCAATCTTGGTAAATCTAACGAGTTCATAAAATTTCAGGCGAATAGTTGACTTCATCATCTGGGTTAGTAGCCGAATCAACTGATTTATATATCCTCAATTCGCCTGTAATTTGTTCTTGAATTTTGAAATTCAATTCATTTACATCTATGTATTTTGCAGCCAATATAGCCTGTTTACTTAACCAATCTTGGTTTCTGTAATTTTAAGCAAAATCTGGAAATACCTTCTGGAAACAGATATCGGTATAGTTGACAGGTACAAGGACATGAAAACTGATGCAATTTATGTCTCGTTCCGAAACTAAAACAGAAGAAAGGATATTCCGAGGTCAATCAAATATATAGCTTTTATATTTTTTGACTTTTCAATTTGGTCGAGTTCCGATATTATCACTATTGTGTGAACGCATTAGATTCTCCAACGCGAACACGCACACATGAACGCACACATACACGAACGCTCACACACATACATTTGATTGAATTTAAACTTTTTGCAGCGACAATAAAGCGCAAATTGAATCTTCGATGTTAAGAATACCTCTACATTGTTTAGACAACAGTGAGTGCTTGTAATTTAATTTAAACTTTATTGAATAGCAATAAAGTTCAAATTGACTCTACATTGAGTAAGAACATATTTGTATGGGAAAAAGAAAAGGGCTGTTTTAGGGTTTTCACGGAAATGACTCGAATTTTTCATGCCGTAAAAACTATCCTTAAACTTCAAGGAACATTTAAAAAAAAATGTTATGTGTTGTTGAGTTATGCGCTTACCAACACATTTTGCGATTCCTTTTATATTATAAAAGTAAAGATGTTGAAATATAATGTTTTGTAGATATATTATTCCACATGCTGGAAAGCATGTAGTAAGCTAGAGTACTATTGAATCCAGTAATTTAATTACTTGAAAAAGTTTATATCATTACACATTTTATGGCGTAAATGGACATCTATATTGTAAAAGCCATATTGTATTTAAAATGTCCTGCTTTAGAAATATCTTCCAAGATATAGATATAAAAATTGAACAAT